GGGGGGGGCTTTATTAGGATAATAAAATGTAAAATGTGAGTTATGATAGAGAAAATGGAGTAACTTCAACTAATGTTATCGCAGAAGAAAATTATAAACATGTCTGTGTGGCTCTGGAACTTTGAAAATAAAAAAAATCGTCCGCTTCACGCTTCATGAGCAGTCCAGCCATAATCACCAGACAGAAATCTCTGCTTTAACTCATTCACCCCTGAAGACGCATTGGAACTGTTCCAGTTCAAAGGTTGGAATAGTTCATTATGAAATTTCAGGGGTGAATGAGTTTACATGTAAGTTCTATATAAATCATTGATTGGGCCTGGTCATGTCTATAGTCAATTCCTCCTGGAAAAGTGGGAGGGGCACTTATAGGGGGAGGAGTGCTAATTACGGCAAAAATGGTATATATTTAAATAGAGGTTACTTCCTCAACTCCTTTTGCTAATATGATGAGATATTCTTTCAAATTGGAAATCTGAACTTCATCAGAATGCCAAGAAAATTTAATTTCAATAAAATATCAAAGATCGTTGACTTGATCATGTTAAAAAATTCGCACATGAATATTAAAACTGACTCATTGTATTGTACTGGAATGTTTAAGAGAGATGGACGGTAAAAAAATTGTCATTTAGGCATCTGTCCAAACAATTAAACATCCGAATGTGTATCCCTGATTAAATTGTTTTCTATTAACTCATTCACCCCTAGAAATTTAAACTGGACTTGCCCAGTCTTTGATTTGGTAAGGTTCAAATGGGACTTCTGGGGTGAGTGGGTTAATGGTCAGCTTCAGTACTTGATGGAAGGGAGACTACTCCTACATACCTTGCAAATCAAGAAAGTGGAATCTTAAAATAACCATCTGTCTGTGGTCTTGTACGGTAGATTACTTATTCCTCCGCTTGGAGTCGAACCCTGGACCTCTGGTTTACTACAGACTTACGCTCTACCAAATGAGTTAGAGAAATTCTCCATAGCTGAGCTAGTAGGAAGCGTGACTAGTATTTTACCAGGGTGAAATCGCTCGTTGTAGGTAAACAGTTTATATGCCTCTAAATGCAGATCCGGGCTCGTATTCATGAAGCTTCCTGCTCAAGCATGGATTCTGTGCTCAAACCAGCTTTCTTGTAACTTTCTGAAATCATTGTAACACTTTCAAAAAGTCAAGTGTGAAGATTTAAAACTATATCTGGCTTTAAGATTCTCTAAAATTCTTCCAATTCATTGACAATGTGTGAGTTTTTGTTATTTTATCAACAAGTCAAGAAATTCGGCTCGAGCACAAAATCTAAATTTTAGCACGAAAATGGTTTCATGAGTACAGGTAAAAATCTGAAAACATGGAGACTCATTCTGAGCAAACGGACAGATTTCTTTATTATTTAGGTATTTAGGTACTTAAAATCAGTTTCGTAAACATTGTACATATTCATATATTAAAAAATACATAAATTTGAAAAATATAATAGTTGCAATGAAATTCAATCTGATTAAAATCATCTGTTACATGGCTCCGCCTGAACATCTGAATGTGCCACGGTCAGGGTCACGTTCAAGTGACCTTTAGATGAACCAATCAGAGGAGCGAATCAGAATATTATAGTCGATAGATAAATAGAGAGGGGTATCGAACAGATTAGTTTTCCAAAACAAATATGACGGCGGGAACTGACGTTTCTACAACGCCAAGGAAAACGTACCCATTGGGTAATAATTGCGTAGGCAACACCGCCATACAGTCTTTCTTCTCTAATAAAGCTTCCAATATCTTTTTCTGTTCGGGTTTCAAAAGGTCAATCTCAAATAATTTCAGAACTTTCGCATCATTCTTATCAATGTCCGCCATATTTGTTACAAATCTGAGCGCCCTTTTGAAAGAGGGTCTCTGATTGGTCAAAATTTAATGAGTATTTATAAATATAAAGGTCACCTGAACGTGACCCTGACCGCGGCACACTCAGATGTTCAGGCATAGTACGAAGTTAACGAAGCCATGTAACCTATGATTTTAATCAGATTGAATGAAATTAAAACGGAGGGAATTCAATGAAGGACGGTACTTGGGAGGGAACTGACATCAACAAAATGGATGGTAACACTTTCTGAAAAGATTCCTCACGTTTCAACATACGGACGGTAACAATTTTCACATACTAAAACACAGCAATACAAACGTGTATATCAAAGACTACAATGAGATTAAGCTAAAATGGACTCAACATATTTCACCAAAATGGACGGTAACATATATCAATGGAATGATTCAACATGTTTTAACAAAAAGGACTAAAACATTTCACATCAATATCAACATGTATATCAAAGATTACACCGAGAAACAGCTGGGATGGACTCGAACATATTTCACCAAAATGGACGGTAACATACATTTGGAAGGATTCAACATGTTTCAAAATAAGGGCGGTGATAATTTTCACATATTAGCAAAACAAATGTGTATTCACTCATTCACCCCTGAAGACGCATTTGAACTCTTCCAATTCAAAGGTTGGAATAGTTCATTATGAAACTTCAGGGGTGAATGAGTTACAGACAAAGATTGCAGTGAGAAACGAGAAACAGCAAGGGACTCAAAAATGTCTGGTAACATATATATTTAGAAGAGTTTAACATATTTCAACAAAAAGGACGGTAAAAATATTTCACATGTCAAACCAATAATTATACAATCGTGTATGCTTAGGAGTACACTGAGAAACAGAATCTTGCACTCCTGGTTGATATACAGTTTGGTCCTTTAATTTTGTAAAATCAGATCTTTTGCAATGTCTTTTCTGGAATAAATGTGCAAAGTTTAGATTTTTGGCAAATTTATTAACTCATTCACCCCTGAAATTTCATAATGAACTATTCCAACCTTTGATTTGGAAGAGTTCAAATGTGTCTTCAGGGGTGAATGGGTTAATAGTCAAAATAATCTCTCTGTCAGAACAGCCTGAGTTAACAGGATTTATATTTAAGTTCATAATTTGTACAAATTTTTTACAGATCTTTTATCGTTTACGTTAATCTTTTACACAATCTTTTACGTTCAAAGTGAGAAATAAAATCTCCACAAAAAAGGAAGAAATGTACAGTATACTGAAAACTAAGAATGCTGGTTCTGGAACAGAAGATATATCACAGATTTATATGGTTCTGACTTTCATCAGGAGCCTGTCACTTTCATCCATAATTTAAAAAGCAGCATAAATCACACATTCATATTCTCCATGTTGGTAAACATTCGTTTTATACTGGACTTGGAAGGAACAGTTAAAACAAAAGCACACCCAAAATATTGACTGGATAGTTGAAATTGTGTAGTAAATACTTAAATGTACATTTAGGAAACATGATGAAATTATATAATTAATATTGGAAAGGGGTATAAACAAAAAAGGCCTTGATTATTATACAAAAACACACACAGATTATATATGTTTTTTTTCCCCAAGTAAGATGATGAAGCTTTTTGCATATATATCTGCAGCATTTGTACATGTCATATATTTGCATACCTCTGGCCCAGCTATAAAAACTAGTCAGCTTAACATATTACAAACTGAAAATTTCAAAGTACATTTTTAGAATAAATATTTCATTTTCTTGTCTTCTCATTTAGATCATTTGTGAACTTTGAAAAAAAGAAATTATTTTGCTTCATATATATATCAAGAAAACTGATTCTAAATTGTACTGATAAATTTTTCATTTCAAATTGAACCGATTGAATTCTAGTTGCTCAAAATTAGCTAGATTCACATCTTCCTCAATGTAGCGTAATTTTTCTAAAAGTTCAAATTTAGTATTAAAACCAGAAATCACAAGTCACCAAAATATTTGGAACTTCTTAGAAAATTAAAAACGAATGTTTTGAAAATTACGTACGCATCTTAACTCATTCACCCCTGAAATTTTATAATAAACCATTCCAACCTTTGAATTGGAAGAGCTCAAATGTGTCTCCAGGGGTCGATGAGTTAATGTTAAACCAAAGAGATATTCAGGTAGGTGCAGAGGGTAGTGTCCAAATTTTTCAATTTCACAAATACTGCATAGTGCATAGTTGCTTTGGAAACAATCAATTCTCTGGGCTGCGTAGCTAACATCAGACAAATAAAAAAATCACAATCAACATCAATTGTAATGAAATAACAAGTTACCCCAGATACTTTGGGGTTGTCGAACCATTGCAATAATCAACAGGAATGTTCATCCATAGTCTTTATCATAATATCACTGTTTCAACCTGTAACTCATTCACCCCCGAAATTTCATAATGAACTATTCCAACCATTGATTTGGATGAGTTCAAATGTGTCTTCAGGGGTGAATGAGTTAACCCTTTCACCACTGTAGACCATTATGGACTCATCCATATCAATGTATGGTAGGAGTCTACTTAAGTTACATAGGGGTGAAAGGGTAAATTATTGATAGCATTTCTTATCAATCTTAACAGTTACCTCCCCTTTGATTGAATGGAACACACAGGAACAGTAATGATGAAAAAACTTTGGAACAAATTTTTATAAAATTTGAATTAACCCAGAAATAAAACTTATATACAACTGACCTGTGTGTCTACTCAAGTAGAGATGGAAACATAGACACCTGGACTTTACAAGTCTACGTGACAGCAATAGCATGATACATCACAACACACATATAATTACGGTGAGGTATTTACATCTAAATATTAAGTAGGTCAATTAATAACAAATAAATAATAATAACATCCTGACTCGTCCCCATACTTCTGCATACAACAAGCACAGTTGTTAGTTAACTGAGGTTAAATCTTCGAAACCCACAGAACCTCTCTCAATAAACATATCTTCCCGCACCCTTTGAATACTGTAAAAACCTGTGTATTTTGTGCAGTTACTTGTTTGGGGCTGAAAATGCTGATAGAAAATTTCTACTTATCTACTAACTGTAGGTCATGACAAAATTGAAGACTTTTTACACAAAATCTTGTGGATAATACAAGACAATGAATTTGATACTTTGAATCATGTGGCAGCACAGTGGTAAAATTGTCCAGCTTTGAAGTCAGATGTCATGCATCTGTTATATTCTAAAGGACAGGTATCTGCAAAGGTATTGGTAAGGTTTTTTATATGTCAGAAACCAATCAATTCGCTGACAATTTGCCTTCGATTTTGTCATGACATACTTAAAAAGTGGATTTTTTGCAGTGTGGAAGTGTCTCGTTTTTTGAAGAGGAGTATAAATTGGCGCAAAAATATCCAGCCACAAATATTTCTTTATAGATTATAGATAGATAGATTTTTTTTCAAAACTATTGCCATGGCAAAAATGTCTACGGCCGCAATCAGTTTAAATGGTCACAATGCGAACATTTCTCACAATGTGAACATTTCTTCACGAGAAAATTCCCGTTTTACAGAATATAGAGAAGATACATTTATCCCGAGTGGAATTCTTGATTTACGAAGATGAAAACAGACACTATGTTGTCAACATCAATTATATAGTTTTGGGTACCGCAAGCATATTATCAATCTTGATGATATACTTTCTGGTACAGCAAAGAAAGTTATTAGTTTTCGATAACTGTTTTATCTTAATGCACCCAGGTCCTCCGTTAATTTCAGTTCATTCATAGAAAAGACAAAAAATAGATCCCCGTGGAAATTTACAGTTTTAAGTGTCATCAATATTATGGTCACGCCATTGAAAACTCGTAAAGGAGATTGTATGGCACAGGAGACGGAACACAATCTAATCAGCATGTGCAGAAATTCCAGGACGCAGAACAACTAAATCTATCAACTTGTCGGGAAGTTTAAATTTAAAAGGATAATCCTTTGTAACAGTACCTTTTTATGTTATTTACAAATCTACTCTACAAAAGTAGAAAGCTCTGAAAAACACAATAAAATTTCAATCAATAAATAAAGTAATGGTTTCTAAATATAGATAATTAATTTGACAGGTGGGAGGTCCTCATGTGAAACAGGGGACATAACTCTTGGTAGCTCGATACACAGCAATGAAGCAGACTTTCCTAATTATTCTTTTTTAAATGTAACAGTTCAGGGTACAGCTTAATAATATCCCAATTTGCAAATGAAGCCATTAGAAAGCATTAGGGTCAAGGCTAGCTAGGACACAATATCGGACTACTAGGTCTGCACGTTTTTCATTAAGAAACTAATATCTAATCATACCAGTCTGACTATTCAAAATGTGGAAAATGAAAGCGACCTACACTGCCTGATAGTCAAGCTACCTAAGTCTGGTACTCAAACAAAGTAACAGATTTAGTTGTGGAAGTCTTTTGGGTGATACCGTATTTATCCAGCAATAAGCCCATGCCTGGTAATAAGCCCACCCATCCATATCTATTGAAGATCACTAGAAACTCCAACAAATGCAATTTCATCGACCTGTAATAAGCCCGCCCCCTACTTTTTGTGAATCACAAAAAAAATGTTAACTCTCGGGACTTATTGCAGGATAACTATAATAAGTAAAATTGATAACTGAAAGACATGAGACCGTTCAACAAATCATGGGTAAAATAATTAAGATATATAACACAATCAAACAGTACAAATCAACAATTAAAAAACATATATACAGAATTAACTTAATTAATATAATAAAAATTGCTAATGAATCCATGCAAATAAACTTCTAAAAAGAGCACATATTTATGCTATGTTTGGAACACCTTCATTTCACAGGGGCCAGACACATATTATAACAATAAAAAGAAAAATAAGAGGAATGGTTTCAATTTTGTTGCAGGTAAAAGTGTCTGTCCCCAATATCATTGTCTGTCCCGTGTTTAATAACAACCGATATTTTCTGTCCCCTGTGTTTTATAATTTATAACATCTAATATTGTCTGTCCCCTGTGTTTTATAACACCCAATATTGTCTGTCCCCTGTGTTTTATAACAACCAATATTGTCTTTCCCCTGTGTTTTATAACGCTCAATATTGTCTGTCCCCTGTGTTTTATAACACTCAATATTGTCTGTCCCCTGTGTTTTATAATACCCAAAGTTATCTATCCCCTGTGACTGAAGATATTGTTACTGTTTTGCATAAAAACATTTCATGACATTTCCTAAAACAGCTATGAAACAAAAGATTTGTTACCTAAGTAATGAGGAAAAGAAAATCTCGGAAATGATTATGTACAAATTAAATGTACATGGAACAGTTTATACGGGAACAACTCGCAGGGAAAAGACACCAATGTAAGTAGCAAAGTTGTGGGATATTATTACAAATGGTACAAGGCACACATCAAGTTTGAGTTGAAGAAACAAATTCTGATGGAGTTGCCTTCCTTAGTGGAAACTTATGTAATTAGAATTTGCACAATTTTTTTCTCATGGAAATGAGAAAAAAGGAATTTTCTCTTTTGCATAGTTTTATTTTGCCAATATATGTTGAATGCCTTTTAGGTACCAAAACACCTACATTATTTTGGTCTTTACCAAGATGTTATATGTACAGCTACAACCAGTGACTGGAGGCAATTTTTTTTTGTCATTGCACCATACTGAGATCTCTCTATTAATCTGAGTCCCAAATAAAATATTTTAAAGAAATACCTATGAAAACACTGCAATCACTACTGTATCATTATCAAAGCCAATGATTTGGACAAACTTCTGTTGTAGCATTGATCACAGCTGAGGAAACAACTATCTATTGTGACTAGTAACAAGGAGTAGACAACTCTGTACCATTGATTACCTGGTAAGTAAGGACAGACAACTCTGTACCATTGATTACCTGGTAAGTAAGGGCAGACAACTCTGTACCATTTATGGCCTGGTAGGTTAATTAGGGCAGATAACTCCATAACATGGTAAAATAGTTGTTTTGTAGCCAAGGGGAGGTAATTATAGCCACAATCAGACAGGTGCTTTTAGGTCAGGGTAGATAACTCCAGACATAGTAAAACAGTTGTCTTGTTGCCAAGAGGAGGTAATTCCAGTCACAATCAGACAGGTGCTTGTAGGTCAGGGTAGATAACTCCAGACATGGCAAAACGATTGTCTTGTAGCCAAGGGGAGGTAATGAAAGCCACAATCAGACAGGTGCTTGTAGGTCAGGGTAGATAACTCCAGACATGGCAAAACGGTTGTCTTGTAGCCTAGAGGAGGTTATTCCAGTCACGATCAGACAGGTGCTTGTAGGTCAGGGTCGATTACTCCAGACATGCAAAGTGAAAGACTTTTAAGTAAATTTTAATTAATTAACCATAGGTTTCGTACATAGGTGGTGATGAAGGTTGATTAACACTCTCGAGCTCAAATGGTTTCGCACTCCTCCCATTCATCTGAAAACAGTAATGGAAAGAAATTTTAAATATACAAATATTACAGGATCTACAAAATGTAAACATATAAGTGATGGATCAGAACATGTTGTAGGGGTACTTCTCTATCTCGATGACGGGAAGATTGGGTTTTAGATGGGGTAATTTTCGTAAAACATTCTTTTACTAGAATCAATAAAAATACATGAACTATTATGTTAAGCTATATGCGCAAATTAAGACATGCTGATTTAATTACCATTGATCCAATGGTTTCTCAACAGAAGCAACTTACATCAAGTAAAACCTTGTTATACTGCCGCTATTTGTCCAGAGAAATTTGACATTATAAAGGGGTTTAGCAATAAAGTGAGGGAAATTTATAAAGGAAATATCTTAAGTAAACAAATAAAAAAGGACATTGAAATATGAGGTCGCAAATGAAACAAAGTTTTACTGTCGGGTTGTCTACAGAAATAGTTTCAACAAGCTAGGAATTTCTAATGTTAAACAGTAAATTTTAAAAAAGATTGAGGGAATTACATTTTTTAAGCAAAATTAATGCCAAATTCCCTATAAAACATCACTGGTCTGTATTAATTAATTCACCCCTGAAATTTCATAATGAATTATTCCAACCTTTGGAATCGGAAGAGTTCAAATGTTTCTTCAGGGGTGAATAAGGTAACAACAGTTTTCCTCTATGCAAATGGATGACCAGCTATAACTTGACCATCAATATATAGAGTAATTAATAAGGAAACTTATTTTTTGTATAGACCAGGGGTTTTAAATTTCATATCTTGACAATTAGCCCACAGGCATCCTCGACATTCCAGGGGTTATGCTCACTTTTGTTCTCTGCATTCCTGGAATATGTCATGACAAAACCAAAGGTATGTGTTGAGCTATTTGATTGGTTTTGAATGAAACAAACTGACCAATCACAAGGCTGATACTTGTCCTTTGAAGATTACAGAGGAGCGACATGGAAATTCTAACCTGGTCAATTTCACTATTACCTTTCCAAGTGATTCTTTCGCTGTATATAATTGGATCAATAAATCTACTGGTATTACCTACAACATGTACAGAGCTTTGTCCTGACATATTCAACGTGTGTCAAGAATGAAAGAAAGGGTAATCTATGGTTTTTGAGGATGGCCAATGGGCAGGTTTTGAAAAAATAATACTAGCCAGACCTATCTTTTCAAATCAAGCAATGAACATTTTTTACAGGCTCTGAAAAAAACCTCAACTAGTCCCCCGCACCAGGCTAGTGGAAGGGTACTCCCCTGTTAATGGAGCAATCTTAACTCATTCACCCCTGAAGACACATTTGAACTCTTCCAATTCAAATGTTGGGTTAGTTCATTTCGAAATTTCAGGGGTGAACATGTTAATTTTAAGTTTCAAAACTCAAACATAACGTTTGATGACTTACACCAACTGCGTCATTGTAGGACGGGGGCATTATGTCAGCATCACCATTCATGGCCATGCTGGGTTTGTACGTATTTGAGGTGACGAAGAGAGAGGTGAGGTCCGGCCCAGTCGAGGACGAGGCTTCAGAAGTCACCATGTAACGGTCCCCTTCTCCACCATCATTACCCATTGCCTGGATCTATCAAAAACAACATCAGCAGATATAATAAGTTGATCTTATGCTATTTGTAGTAACAGAGGTCATGACATTGCCCTTTGTGACCTCAAATAATAGGGATCTGAATTCAATTATCAAGATATATGTAAAGAGTGAACACAAAGGAAATAGAACTTGAGTTACTTATAATTCTTTTCTTTTTTTACTTCAGTAAATGTAACAGTGACCTTGACCTTTAATTTATATGACCTTCTCCTAAGGTTTATCCTTCCTGTGTAAGCTCAGCATAATGTTATTCTGTCTTTTCGTATTGCAGAGTTATCTGCTCTTGATAGCAGGTATTGATTGTTACGTCATTTGTTTGTGAGAGTAACGTCATCATTTTTTGAGAAAAAGACGTAATTTTCTCACACAAACTAATGCCCTAACAATCAATACCTGCTCACAAGAGCAGATAACTCTGCAATACGAAAAGACCGAATACATAACTTAAATGAAACATTGAAGATACATATGTTTGTAGAATACAAATCTTCAACTAGTGTATAAAATATAAGTTTATCAAATTTCTGGAGCCATCTGTTTCTTTATCAAGACACAGAAAAACACAGAACACTTACATTACCACAAAACATATTTATGTATAAATGCTTGTTAGCAAGGACTTCAGAAAATGTACATTATTTTGGAAAAAAACGAGAATGGAAATACTTGGACATGCCTACAATTATTTCAAACATAAGAAAGGTGTCAATTCTCAAAATAGACACAGAACAATGTTTCTGATTAGCTCATACCTGGGTTGTCTTGATGGTGTACGGAAAGTTTCCTTGGGCAGCATTCGGTCTGGTAAGTACCTACAACATGGAAAGGTCAAAGGTCATTATCAACTCACAGAGGTCAAGGTCACATTAACAACATACAGAGGTCAGGGTCATCAATTACAAGATACTGAGGTCAAGGTCATCACTAACACCATAGATGTCAAGGTCATCATTATCAACTCACAGATGTCAAGGTCATCATTAACAACATACAGAGGTCAGGGTCATCACTTACAACATACAAAGGGTCAATGTCATCACTTACACCATACATAGGTCAAGGTCATCATTAACAACATACAGAGGTCAATGTCCTGATTAACAGAAAACAAAGGTCAAGGTCATCTCTTACAACATTCTGAGGTCAAGGTCATCACTTACACCATATACAGGTCAAGGTCATCACTTACACCATATACAGGTCAAGGTCATCACTTACAACATACAGAGGTCAAGATCATCACCAACAGCATACTGATGTCAAGGTCAGATTAACAACATACAGAGTTCAAGGTAGCATCAGTAGCAATATGTAGAGGTGAATATCATTACTTACAGTACAAAGATAATTAAGGAATGAGGGAAAAGTAAACGAGACAATTAATGTTGCAGAGGTGATCATAGGGCCACCTTGTGTAATTCTTCCTTAAATCTATAAACTTCAAACTCACCAGAAAAAATAAATGTCCACAGAATGAGACGAAGTTCTGTACCGCGACAACGGTTTTCTCTCGTGTCCACACAGCCATGGCGAACATTGCGATGAGGATGACAATTGGACCGGCCCAGAACCTAAACCAAATCATTTGTTGTAAGTTAGTTTTGTGTCACATCAATATGTTTTTTATTTTAAGCAAGTAAGAAAAAGAAAAAAAATGATGGCCAAATGGTTAATGAGTCTGACATTCTGCTACCACTAGCCCTCCACCACTGGGTCGCGCGTTCACGTGGGACCTACGTGGGGCAGTTGCCAGGTACTGGCCATAGGTCGGTGGTTTTTCTCCGGGACCTCCAGCTTAATTTCCTTTAATGATCAAAGCTGTTAATAGGACGTAAAGTACAAACAAAACAGACAAAAAGTTAAGCAAGTGAGAAGTATACACACAACATGCTTGGAGATTTTCGTCGCTGATAAAACTTCCCCTTTGTCGACCTCCTTAGCGACGGTAAATTTCATCATCACAGTAAATATGAATACACAATGTATCATCAGTTATGACACATGAGGGATTTTCCTGTTGAACAGAACAAAATTTGACTGGGTGAGTTTCCCAGTTTACAGAATTGAGAGAGTATGGCAGAAAAGTTTGTGTCTCTCGTAAATTCTATGTTTGATGTCCCTCTCTCAGATTTACCTATGTAAGAATTAGGGTCCAAATCCTGATTATCACATATGTACTTTTACATTTTGATTTTTGCACAGGATTAAGGGCCGAATAAAGGCACAATACCTGTGCATGTTTTTTTTTCTTTCAAATCCATATTGATGTATTGTGTTTACTGACAATATTATGTATAGTGTGTATAGTGTGTATAATGTGAAGAATGACTTGGTATACTGACCAGAGGGTGTATAGTGTGTATAGTGTGTATAATGTGACGAATGACTTGGTATACTGACCAGAGGGGGTATAGTGTGTATAGTGTGTATAATGTGACGAATGACTTGGTATACTGACCAGAGGGGGTATAGTGTGTATAGTGTGTATAATGTGACGAATGACTTGGTATACTGACCAGAGGGGGTATAGTGTGTATAGTGTGTATAGTGTGAAGAATGCCTTGGTATACTGACCAGAGGGTGTATAGTGTGTATAGTGTGTATAATGTGAAGAATGACTTGGTATACTGACCAGAGGGTGTATAGGAAGAAGAACGGATAGTAAAATCCTCCACGTTTTGGGAAACGCTTCAGTGTGAAGAAGAGGCTGTAACAAAACCAGGCCCACGCAAGGAGTCGGAGGATGATGAGCCCATAACCTGGTATACTCTCGTAAATATACAGTACCAGAGCCGGGTCAAATGTCTACAAAGGCCAAACATACAGATATAAAGTTCAAAGTTCAAACATGATATAAAGTTCAAAGGTCAATTATGATGTTAAGTTCAAAAGTTAAACATGACAGGTAAGCATGCAGGAAAAGGTCAAACATGACATAAAGTTCAAAGGACAAATATGATATAAAGTTCAAATATAACATATATATAGTTCAAAGGTCAAACAGGACTGATATAAAGTTCAAAGATCAAACATGACAATGTATGGTACAAAGTTCAAACATGGCAGATATTGAGTACATGGTCAAATATGGCAGATGTCAAGTTCAAAGGTCAAAAAAAGGCAGATAACAAGTTCAAAGGTCAAACTTGACAGATTTACAGTACAAAGGTCAATCATGACTTATTTATAGAACAAAGGTAAATCATGACTTATTTATAGAACAAAGGTAAATCATGACTTATTTATAGAACAAAGGTCAATCATGACTTATTTAAAGAACAAACGTCAAACATGTCAGATTTATAGAACAAAGGTCAATCATGACTTATTTATAGAACAAATGTCAAACAGGACAGAAACCAGTTTCACTCACCTCAGCCTCAACAATAAACAGGGCAGCATAGGCCACGACGTAAACAGTGAAGAATACAGACAGTTTGATCGTGCTGTGACAGGGGAGGCGACCCCGGGTAATCGTGTAGCCTTTGGCTAGTAGGTTTAACATTAGGAGGAAACAGATCTCAGCAGCAGCACAAAACACACGACCTGTCAAACACACAGACAAGAACAGAGTAAGTTATCATTCTGTTTCCTTGTGTATACGAATTTGTATAAGTAACTGATGTATTTAATATTTGTTCTCTAAATATATGTTTCATTGTCATACTTAACCCTTTCACCACTATATACCATAATGGACTCACTAAGATAAATGTATGGTAGAGTCTATTAAAGTTATATAGGGTTGAAAGGGTCAACAAAGAGTTTTTCTTTCAAGTTGACTACTGATTATTATTTTCACAAAAATTCAGTTTATTGATTGAATAAACAGCTTTTACGCTATTTTGTCAAATATTTGTTCATGATTGAAAGAAAGTAATATCGTCCTTTTTGTCATGGTGTTTATCTCTTACAAAAAACTGAACATTTTTTAGTACGCATTGTTTGATAACATGACCAGTGTCAAATTTCAAAGGTGTCATTTTCATTTATCAGAATTACCTCCAAGTTCTGAGCCAACTTGTTCGTAGCCAGAGTCGGCATATCGTCCATAAGATATACACAACAGGAACAAACCAAACGACCACAAAATCACGCTAGAAATGTACATCTTAAATGTGGAGTGGAGGAGTTGGCGTCCAGACAGGATCACTGAAATGATTGTGATGTACAGGGTAAATAACATGGTTAATGAAATGTTTGTAATGTACAGGGTAAATAACATGGTCAGTGAAATGTTTGTAATGTACAGGGTTAATAAATTAGTCAGTGAAATGTTTATAATGTACAGGGTAAATAACATGGTCAGTGAAATGTTTGTAATGTACAGGGTAAATAACATGGTCAATGAAATGTTTGTAATGTACAGGGTAATTAAATAACATGGTCAATGAAATGTTTGTAATGAACAGGGTAAATAACATGGTCAATGAAATGTTTGTAATGTACAGAGTAAATAACATGGTCAGTGAAATGTTTGTAATGTACAGGGTATACATAAATAACATGGTCAGTGAAATGTTTGTAATGTACAGGGTAAATAACAGGGTAAATAAATTATTTCAGTGTCGCTTAAAATATTGTTTGTGTTTATACATCGTCAATTCTACGATTGGATCACTAAAATGCTCATTATTTACAGGAACGATATGCAGGAATATGTTGAAATAAAAGTTTCTACTTTAGGTGATTCCATAATTAACTCATTCACCCCCAATACATAAATGCACTCTTCCAATTCAAAGATCGGGAAAGTTCATTATGAAATTCAGGGATGAATGAGTTAAGTGATTTTTTTTGATTTTTTTGACCTCATAATTCAATTGAAGAAATTTCTGCATGCACCATATAAAAAAATACCCAAGAAAACGAATGTAAGCTATTGATTTGTCTATTCTTACTGGTATGAGATTATTTCTGTTGCAAATAAGAATGGCCCTAAACATTTCAGAAGCCTACTTGTCAGAATATAATATAAAGTATACAATCAAGATCTATGACATTTTTGGTTTTTTTAACTTTTATTGAGCGTCTTACCTGCAAATATTACAGACACGGCCAGGATGATGAGATAGGCGATGAGAAAGGCAATCAGAATGGGAAGAATATCTGCAACAGAACACGTCACAATTACATGTACAAATACGCAAATGAGTATAATGCAAAAAAAATCATATAGGGAGCGATTACAGAAACTAAAGCTCCCAACACTAGCGTATAGAAGATCCTGTGGCGACATGATAGAGGTTTGCAAAATATTGCCTAGGAGTGTATGAAGTATCTGACACATTTAATATTTGGGAAAGTTCATCTACACGTGGACACAACTTCAAAAATTTACAAATCACATTCAAGTCTAAATTTGAGTTTAAAGTTTCGCTTACACAGAACTATTTTTTCTGAAACTATCTTCCGTCTAAATGTTGTGAATTCAAGCACAGTTTAACAATTTGAATATATGTTAGATGAACACTGGTAAAACCAATCGCAGAAATACAGTTTTAAAGAAGAATTTAAATCTAAAGGACGCAATTTTTGAAATATGTTTTTGTTTTGTTTATCTCAGAGCTGACTGTCTAAGGATTGTAAAACCCTAATTTTGTCAGAATAACATCTATGATTCCATGCATCATGGAAGAGGTAATGGATTAAATAGTGGTACAAGGGAGGCAACTCCGCCAGTCCTATAAACCTAGGATACCCCTTCCTAAATACAGTAGAACCAGCATCTGGAACCAGGACATACCTTTCATAATAAATTGATCGAGGTAAACAACATGTGCATACATACTAATCAAAATATGATGTAACAGTAACGTATAGACAGAAGAGATAAACAGGGGTGTATATAGCAAACGTACTCGGTCTCTTTCTCTCTCCCCCTGAAATTTCAGCATTTACCCTTTCACCCCTATGTAACTTTAGTAGACTCTACCATACATTGATCTGGATGAGTCCATTATGGTCTACAGTGTTGAAAGGGTTAACAATGTCAATGAGAAATAAGTTTCAGTGCTTGATGTTTGACTGGACACGACACNCCCCCCATTTTTTATGGCAGGGATATAAAAAGGAGTGATTATCTCCTGTATCTCCAACAATGTTCTCTACAGTACTCTACCCTCCTCCGTACTTTGTCAATGTAACATAAAAAGGCTACAAACTAAATAAATCAAAATATAAAACTTACAAAACTCATCGGCTGAGAATTCCTGGTGAAGTAGATCCCCATCGTCTCCATTCGTCAGGTGGAGATTGTAGGTCAAGTTAATGCCACGGCCAGTCTGAAATTAGGTATCGGAGAAACTGAGGCTAAGTTATCGCATAAACGTTACACAAAGGTACTCATGATGACGTCAGAAACAATATATGTTGTGGATTGTAAAACAACCTGGAAAAATACTGTGGAATGTTGTTTTTTTTCGCGGTCTGTAATTTTCGTAGATTCATTAAAATTGTCAGCTATGTAATATCAATTTCTTGTGGATTTCCGAAAGGTCTAGTTGCCATGACACATAATTCTATGGGACGGATTGGGTAGTAATGGACATACCACAGTTAACATTACGGGCATGCAGTGTATATATACCTACCCCAGATCCTTGATTGCAACGACTGACAGCTATAAACCACCATCGCTCCCTCATGGATCGGAACTTGAGACCGAGCCCGGAAAGCTCACAGCGGATGTAGTTTCTACCTTCCTTGACAGTGTTTTCGCAGTACGGCCAGTAGTCTTTGCCAAATGTGGGGTCAAGTCTGATGATTTGATTCTTGCCGTCCTTCAGGATGTCAACCTTTTCTTGACAGGTCTACAAGTATAACAATAACACAAACTGACTTTCTTAGACGCATCTGTTCAATAGTAATTTTGGAAATTGCTTTATTAACTCATTCACCGCTGAAATTTCATAATGAACTATTCCAACCTTTGAATTGGAAGAGTTCAAATGTGTTATTAGGGGTGAATGAGATAAAATCCATATTCGATGATGACAATTTCTCAAGTGATTGAGAATTGATCGTAACATTTAAAGGGAATATATATACTGTATATCAGGAAATGTTTGCCCAGTCAAACTTTCGCTCTTCACCCATGAAATCAATTTTCGCACAGTATTAACTTTGCGTCTCGCATTTAATAACTATAAACATTATTTTGTTTGATTATATTTGCTGTAATGATAAATTTGCCCTCATCATAGAGTGCGAAAAGTAAAAAATTAAACTGTGGTGAAAATTTCCCAGTATGCTGTAAATACAGATAAATTGTGATGGATATTTTTAACTAATGATATAAATAGGCAGAAATGATATTTGAAGGAAGTTCATCATAAAACTGAAAGTTTTCATGGTCTAATCAAACTACGATTAGTCATAGAAAATCATGATTGGTTATATTAGTCATAGAAAATCATGACTGGTTATATTAGTCATAGAAAATCATGATTGGTTATATTAGTCATAGAAAATAATGATTGGTTATAATATTAGTAATAGAAAATCATGATTGGTTATATTATTCATAGAAAATCATGATTGGTTATATTAGTCATAGAAAATAATGATTGGTTAGTCATAGTTGAAGGTAAAACGACTAATAATCAATTAAACGGATTTATTCGAGCAACTTTAGTAGTGCCTGTCAACAGTGAACACTAAAGGACAACAATGAGATGGCATCGTGAAACTGGGGAAAATCGGAAACTGTTTTGCTGAAACTGACCAAGTAATCAAATTGAATGCTAACTTAACATATAAGTTGTTTAAGTCAGAAAGATGGGATTTTTTTCTGTCATAAAATTTGATGAAATTTTTGTTCAAAAAGAAGATTTCATTTTCAAAATAGTAGCCAGTGAAAATGCTTTAAGTTGAGAGTGGGTTTTTTTCTGTTGATTTTCGAGCTAATCTGACAATTGTAATGAGATAAAATTCTCCTTTATGCCTCAGGGTGTAGAATAGGGTAACCCCTCAGGTGGACAAATGAACAAACCTTGTACTTTTTTTTAAGCTGCTTCTCATGATGATGAGATGGGAGGGGGAAGGCAGTTGCAGGGACAAGGGACAAGGGGTAGGTGTAGTGGTAGGGGCAGGGACCAAATGGGGCAGGGACGTGGTAGGGGGTAAGGGGTAGGGGTAGGTGTAGTGGTAGGGGCAGGGACCAAAGGGGACAGGGACATGGTAGGGGGTAAGGGGTAGGGGTAGGGGGCAGGTATTGGGCTGGGACAGGGGTAGGGGGAAGGGGTAGGGGGCAGGGGCAGGGACAGGGGCAGTGGTATTGGGCAGGGACAGGGGTAGGGGTAGGGGACAGGGTCGGGGGTAGGGGTAGGGGACAGGACAGGGACAGGGTCAGGGGTAGGGATAGGGGGCAGGGGTAGATCGGAGAAATTGGAAAGTCACATCACTATATAAAATTTACAATGGGAGGGGTACTGGCACGGACAGAGGTAAACGGAGGTCAAATCACAATGCATAATTTATAATAACATACAAACTCATTAATATATCTGGCACAGTGTCAAATACACAGAAGAACGACAGGACATCGACAGACTGATTGTATACCGTCATGTCACATTAACTGATAATCACCACACTTATTAACCACTGGTGTATACAGTCTATCGCTAATACAACAATGCCTTCTGCAAAGGAACATTACATACATGTACTTGTTGTGTACAAATTGCTTTTGTTAGGAACGACATAATAACACCATTGTGATTTTTATTTGGATTTTTTTTTTTAGGGAAGTCTGTATGTTTTGCCACAGAAAGTCAAACTTGAACCTATAATGGACAAATCGGGTTGGAAATTGGAGGTTGTCAAACTTCACGAAACACAGAGGTCGTCAAACTTTCCAAACATACATATAGGATCTTACATAAGTTTCCATTTCATATGAAATTTATGAAACTAGTCTAAGAATTTTTCAATTCAACGAGCCTCTGGCGAGCTAAAATGAAAAATTTGTGACAAGTTTCATAAATTTCAAATGAAATGAAAAACGAGTGTAAGATCCTTTTCATCACATAATCAAGATTTATGACATTTATTCATGTCAAACGACAATTTTTATGCAACTGAAATGTAAAAAGCTGCCATTTTGACTCCATTGCGTCAGTCTGTGACGTCATGTATTTGTCCTAGGCGTGACGTCACAATCAAAACAATAGAAAATTACAACCAATCATAGGGCTGATAGGTCATATTACATGGGTTAATACGCCAAAAAATATGACATGGGTATATTCGCTCCATTGGTTCAAGTTGTCGTAATATGTTTATACCTTATCACTGGGGTACGCCTCACTCCATTGGCTCAAGTCGTCGTAATACAGCAGTATTTGCTGATCCAAGAACTCCTGTTAAACAGAAATCAACAGTAAATACAGCGTTCTAATTCTCTTCACCTCTTTACTGTGACAATAGTTTTGATTTAAGGAACCCTGTCCCACTGCAGACAAACCATTGGAGAGTTCCACTGTAGTTTTATCTTAAATACAATAGTCTCCCCTTAAATGAGTTCTCCGTATTACTGTAACACAACTGGGTCAGGCCACTTCTGATATCCAGCTAGCTCAGTTGGGTCCAGTCCCTTTCACCCCTATGTAACTTTAGTAGACTCTACCATGTATTGATATGGATGAGTCCATTTATGATCTACAGTGGTGAAAGGGTTATATTAACACCTATGAAATTAGTAATTAATTATTTTATTATTACCAGGAACATTTTAATTGTTATTTTTCATATATATACAGACATTTTGAAAGGTACAGTTCTCTTTTGAGCAATGATTTATGAAAGTTTATAACAGTCATGTGCGAAATATTTTTCCAATGCAGTTTCAGTTTTTGGCAGCGGGACAGCTGGGATCGTGAAGACAGTTCTACAGTGGGTTTTTTTAGAACAGTATATAGCACTCATCCTCTCTGCTGATACTTCTGGGGGAAAATCCACAAACAAATTTACAAAATGTCATTTCTAGAAATGTTCCAAATCTCTAAGATTCAAATCAACATGTGAAATAGACATGTTCTTTTCAAATCAAAGGATCAAATGTCATTCTGGAGAGTCAAAAATGATTAAGGGTTTACTAAAAGCTTTAATTTGGACCAATTGCAAAGGTCAAGGTCAAAGTGACCATAAATGATTTTCAGTTTCCCTAGATGTCTATTTCACATGTGTTTCGCCCCTCAAAGTTTCAGGAAAATGTTGTTTCACTTCTGAAATTGCTACATTAAATAAATGCCAATGCAAGCTAGAGTTAAACAAACAAAGTTCCTGTTTGATTGCAAAATATTATTTTTTTACTTATATAATTAAATGACACAATGAGATATCACTTTTGTTAGAAATGAGAGGTCAACCATAACAATAGTTAATAAATTAGAATTTGTCATAAACTGTTATAAATTACCTTTATCAATATATATGATAACTGAGAAAACAGTCTAGGTTATATATTCTACATTTTGACTGCTATATATATGTAAGCTTTGTACTGCTTTAAGTTGCAATTCATAGGCAATGTGAATGCCAACAGGACAAACTCAATAAATCCTGCTAGCATTTCAGGTTGGATTGCCTTTACCAGGTTGGCATTAATTCATATTGCTTAAGAATGCAAATTGAAAACAGTTCAATACTTTTTTTTTTAATTTTTGAAATCATAGAATCTCATAGAAAATCTAATTACACTAATTAAATAATTCAGCATTTAGTTTAACTCATTCACCCCTGAAGACACATTTGAACTCTTCCAATTCAAAGGTTGGAATATAGTTCATTGTGAAATTTCAGGGGTGAATGAGTTAAATAATGTAAATATAGTATAGGGTCAGGGTAAGTACAAGTATATCCAACTCAATATGTAATTATGATGTCATAATGATGATGTCAACAATCCGGTCACGGCATTCATAGCCTATTTAAATGCCATTTGCATGTGGTAAGGTGCAATATATATATACAGTGTCAATGCCAATACAAAGGTATTTTACTTTACCTGGCAATACACTGCACTATAAAATCAATCTAGATACACAATAATATTTATAGGTTCGCCATATCTGACTGTATCTGGTACACGATCGTAATTCACTCACAGGGGGAATTTAAACCTTTTATAAAAGTGTTTCTGAGATATCCACAGGTATTGATAATAAAAATTTACAGCCATAAAATTTATAACCACATATATATACCGCCATAAGCATCGGTTCCTGTTTGTTTACCCAGAATTACCCGCCTTAAGCGTTTGTCTACCTAGAAACGGCAAACACCTTTTCAAACAATTAGGAATGTATAGTTGTGTATTCTGATATATATGTAAATATATTTTGAATTTCAATTGCATGAACTACACCCTGTGTTGGATGAACACACACTAGATGCTAAGTTGATGGAGTCTTGAGTGCTTTTTCAGGGGTCATTTTGGGGTCAAATTTTAGTCCGGTCATATTGGAAATTATAGTGCTATATTTTTTTGTTATTTTTTTTTAATTTTCATTATGTATTCTGATGGCAATTCAACTTCAAACCTCTGAAATGAAATTATAATATTTCACAAACATGAATATTTTAGTCTCTTACATGATATTTTGGAAGGAAATGATCTTAGCTCATTCACCCCCAAAGTCATATTTGAACCAAATATCAAATCAACAACTGGGCATTTCGCAAGTCCAGTTTAAATATGTAGGGGTGAATAAGTTAAGAAGGTCAGAAACCAGACTCTTTGAATACAAATTAAGAGTAAATATACGGTTACACACTTAGCCAATATGTCGATGATTTTTGAAAATTGACAGTTGATGCTTAGATAATGTTTCCCTGTTAATATCAGGGGGCTCTATTAGAAATTCACATAGAGAAAGCTCTGTGGTGAATGTACTGTACATGGGCAGTCACATAATTTGTCCTAGGCTTGGTTATAACCGGTACAAGGACGTATACATAATGTCCAATCAATCAATCAGGAGACGGTCCCAGTAAGTTTGTAGGCTTTAGTTGTTTACATTGTATATACATTTTGGGTGGAGCTGTTTCAGATTGTTTTCGGAATAATGGTGACGTCTGACTCATACGGTGCAGACTAAATACTAAGTTGTCTTTTGATTGGTTAACTTTTATGTTGCTACAAAATTCCAAATATTCACCTGTGAGTTTTGGGACATGTTACTCGGATATTTGAGTATAAATACAACTCATTAAAATTTTGAATATGGAGTTGAGAACTCGCCCGAAAAATTCATAAGAAAGTCATTGTTCAGGTATTTTAATGGTTTTTTTTGGCCTACCCTAAACTTTTTGGCAATTTTCAAGGTAGCACTTTTAAAGCCAAGATTACCTTTGAGCTCCTATAGCTATAAACCTTACAAAAGAAATATTGAAAAATATTTATTACCTACAAGCACTGTATGTATACCTTCATTAATTTCAGACATATAAACATGTTTTTGGTTTGGCCTAATTGGTAAATACATCTCAAAATGGCTAGAATGACATTGTACACTCTTTATATGTTATATAAATTTACACTGAACGAGTTTGTTCATATACCTGGTATTTTTAAGCAATATCTGAAATACATATATATATGTAATTTAAACTTAAACTAGAAAATGCCTGTAAGACATGAATGCCCCACTCCCTCACCATGTGAAATTAGTTTCAGTATTTCATGTTCGATGGAACAGGACGGGACAGGACGCAAGGGGACGGGACGGACATATAAAAAAAAAAGAGGCCCATGGGCCTTAACGGTCACCTGAATCCTACAGTATTTATTTTTGTTGTTGAAATATGTACCAATTGGAGTAAAAAACAGTTAAGTATAATGTTAACTTAACTTTGTCAGGAACATGAGCTGATCATTCCTAGACCGATTTTCAGTGAGATCGGCCTATTAGAACTTGTTTTTAAGTTTGAAATAGGTATTTACAAAATAGCGGCCATGGCAGCCAAATTGTATTTCTGATTGACCCGAAAATTAACAACACTTTGTCAGGACCATAAGGCGATCATTCCTACAAAGTTTCAGTTCAATCGGCCTAAGCAGAATAACTTGACTTTAAGTTTGAAATAGTCTTTCAAAATGGCGGCCGTGGCGGCCATATTGGATTTCTGATTGACCTGAAAAATAACAACATTTTGTCAGGACCATGAGTAGATCATTCCTACCAACTTTCAGTTCAATCGGCCCAGCAGAACTTGACTTTAAGTTTGAAATAGTTTTTCAAAATGGCGGCCGTGGCGGCCATATTGGATTTCTGATCGACCCGAAAAATAACAACACTTTGTCAGGACCATAAGGCGATCATTCCTACCAACTTTCAGCTAAAGCTCAGGTGACCTAAAAACTGTTAAAATGTTCAAATGATATGACTAACTGGTTTTTTTATCAAACTCCTGGTTTTATTATTTCTATATAATCTGTGAATGTAATACTATGAAAACGTCAAATTATCATAAAAGTTTACAATAAACAAAGGGGAGATAACTTACCTGTGGGTACTCAAATACATATCTCAGCCTCCCTTTCTCCGATAAAAAGCAGAATCTTGTGATGAAGTGCCAATCCTGAAATCAAAATTACAAATGATCATCATTCATGTACATTTTTACCAAATTAGTTTTGTGCATCTTCAAAACACTGGTACATGTATATATGCCTAGCTAGTACCGATATTAATACCCGGCCTCCTCTGCCTCCGACAACTCAATATATAAAAACTATCTCGTTGTCAGAAGCTACACTGCCTACTGTGGTATTAGAGGTATCTTCCTCACTTTAATTATCTAACAGGAAAAGAAAGAGAAATGACCAGTCAGACTGAGATTTGAACCCAGGACATTCTGAACTCTAGACGGACGTTCTACCAACTGTAAACGAGACACCACAATTTATTGGTGATAGAAGTGCGGATTTAATTTGTGTGTCAATATATATAAGGAACACACAAGGGGATATTTACTGAAATAATTATACTTTTCGTCTTTTAATTTTCAAATATCATTTGAGGTACGTATACTAAACCACAGACAACATAATAAATCATAAAGACCTCCCAGATAACCATTTATAACAAGTTTAGTGACATAATATATTGATGTACAAACATATAGACACACACACAGAATACAAAGGTTTTTTTCAATGTTAAAAATCCGATATCTTATCTTTAATGTCTCCTGCGTAACTGCGATAGTTTTGGAACAGTTCTACAACATCAAGAACAGTACCAAAGTTCTAGAACATTTCTAGTAACAAAGTTCTAGAACATTTCTAGTACCAAAGTTCTAGGACATTTCTAGTAACAAAGTTTGAGAACATTTCTAGTGACAAAGTTTGAGAACATTTCTAGTAACAAAGCTTGAGAACATTTCTAGTAACAAAGTTTGAGATCATTTCTAGTAACAAAGTTTGAGAACATTTATAGTAACAAAGTTTGAGAACATTTCTAGTGACAAAGTTTGAGAACATTTCTAGTAACAAAGTTTAAGAACATTTCTAGTAACAAAGTTTGAGAACATTTCTAGTAACAAATTTTCTAGAAATTTGTCTCATTTAACGTTCTAGAACACTCAATGAAGAGTGGGTCAAGAACTGTTCTTGAACAATTATAGAACTATTCTAGACTTTTTTGTAGGGGACTATTAAGAATCTGTTAAAGTTTGGTCCCTGAACTCAGCACTTTTGTACAAATTTTAAATGTGGATCTCCATACATAAATCTCTGTGAAACCTCGAAGGCTGCCATGATATTTCCAGCTCGACTTTGGTGAAGACATAAGAAGGTTTTGGCGATATATATATTTATGTAATTTGCCCAGGTACTTTTTTGGGCTGAAAATACTGAAATAAAATCACTGTACACTTGCCTATTTCTGCGCACAAGTTTTTGCCTCAAAAACGATGTCCAGAATGCCCTGAAAATTGACCTCCCACACAAAACTCTGACATAAATATCTACTTTCTCATTTCATTTCTTAACTAAATGCGCTAATTTATTTTAATAGCTTTAGATCTTAATCCAGATGCATATCAGTGTTTGTTTTCATTGAAGTATGCAAATAACATCAGACTGAATTCGTGCGCATATCCGCACGTTAACCTAACTAACACAAACATTCACATCTTACACGAACCGTCACAAGTAATGGTTCTAACTGGTTCCTTATAGAGCAAGGTACTAGGCAGGGTAGTATATTATCACCATGGTTGTATACATTATTTATCAATGATCTATTGGAAGAATTATGCAATTCAAACACATCCCTAATGATAGAAGATGTTAACGTAACTTGTCCGACACAGGCTGACGATATTGTACTTTTGTCTTATACCAAGTGTAATCTAGATGTTTTGATGAATATATGTTACAGATATAGTTGTAAATGGAGGTTTAAGTACAACACCTCAAAAACAGGTATTGTAGTTTTTTAATAATCTAAAACATGTTATGCCAGATCCTCACGTAACTGGCGCTTGGGTGTTGACACTGTGAATGAGTCTGAACATACCACACACGTTGGAATATTTCTAGACAAATTTAAATTTGGTCGTCCAGATATTGAAAACGTACTTCACAAGTTAAGAAGTTCCTGCCCCTCGTTTTTAAATGCAGGGTTAATAGGGAAGTCATTAAACCCTCTCATCGGTCTGAAGCTGTTTCGCTCTGTAACTCTTCCATGCTGTTTATTTGGCTCGGAATTGTGGTTTTCATTAAGTGAAGGATTGGTCACGGCTTGAAATAATTCAACATTTTTGTGCCAAAGTCATTCAGACTGTTTTCCCTTCAGAACACGTTCTGACATGGCACTTGGTATGTTGGGGGCTAACGTCACTGAAGGCGAAAGTAGAACGGTCTAAACTTCAATTCTTTGGTTCTTTGTGTCGTCCGAGATCTTCAGCTACTGTAAAACAGCTATTCTAATTAGGGTTGTACCAGAAACACCTACGTGTTTATAAAAGTACTAAAGGTGTCATTTACGACATCTGGTTCATAATTTTAAAATAGGTCTGGAAGAGTTCTTGAGCTATTTCTTGGAAGAAGCTTTTTCCCCTTCCAAACAGTCCTGGATTTTTTTTTGTTAAAAATGCTATTTGTTCAAAAGAACAATCAGAATGGTATATATGAGCGCCTGAATTTTTGTTGATTCCTATATTTGCATGGAACACTTCGTCCGTCGTCTCTTTGGTTTTTGTGGAAACAGTTATTTCCTTTTCAATCTCATATTTTCAGTAGAGTAGCGAAGTTGTGATTAACAAGCCCATACTGTGAGCTGTTATGTGTTAAATGTAAAACAATGTCTCAGGGTGCTCTAGCTCATTGCTTACTTGATTGTAGACATCCAGATTTGGTTACCTTCCGTGACGATTTTTTTACTGATATTGTAAACATTATCCGGTTGAGTTGTACGTCAAACTTGATAGTTTAGAAAGACAGGAAATTCTTTGTATCCTATTGGGGCACATTCGTGATAATATACGGGAACTATTCCCGGATGATGAGTGCTGCACTAGGTTTGCATACGAGTGCTGTTGCTTTTCTGTCAAAGCTGCTGAATTCACTTTCCAGTAAATATGTATATATACAATCAAATTGAATTTGTCTCAAACATGTATTTATAACTTTTTTCCCTTCTTATATTTCCTGTTTCGTGTATTTTTCCTCATTGACGCCTTGATCTAGTATGATCAATATATGTCATTTATGTAACCTTTGCTATGCCTACACTTTATTGATATCTACTAATTTTTCTAATTCTTTGTCAAAACATTATTACATTTTCATATGTACTCTTCGTTTATGGAGGAATAAAGTCATAGGAAGAAAGGTACATATCTCAAGTTACAAATTATAAATAATTGCCTATTATGACTAATTATGACTTATTATAATTGGTATAAGGGAGGTGGCAAACGAAATCAGGGGCATGAGGCCTGGAGGGCTATCTCAATATATAAATATTGGCCAGGGAAAACCGGTACACAGGATACACACGCCAAAAAACTTATTTTTTAAAGATCTGCTTATTTTCATTTCAGGCTTATTACTCCTGTCTCACTGTGAACGTGATTACACCAGGGAATTCCACAGCAGTTTTTCGTACAATGTATAGAGTTACCTCCCCTTTATGTCATTGTAATATACTGCGACGTGACTATATGCCCGCCTGTATTAAACCAGGAAGCTCTGTCGGGTAGAATGACATGTACTATAATAGTTGGAAATCCAAGATTTGAATCTTGGTCTGGCCCGGCCTATAGCATTTTACCACCCAGAACATGTATCATTGTTGATTTCCTTTTGTTTAGGCCAAACAAACAATATTTGGTGTTTCTGGTGTTAACCCTACCTTCGCCCTCCGACTACCCTATTTTTTATGCCTACCCTAAACTTTTTAAGACAATTTTTAAAGAAGCACTGTTAAAGTCAAGATCACTCTCCTATATAAACCATATAAAATTATTTGTTAAAAAATAATGTTACCTACATTGTACATTTTGTACCTACCTACCCTAAATATTTTCCAACATGTGACAGGACACATAATTTTTTTTTCTGGCCTTATAAGTAATTCATCTTGATTTTTGTTTGTTAACCCTTTCACCACTGTAGACCATAATGGATTCATCCATATCAATGTATGGTAGAGTCTACTACAGTTACCTAGGGGTGAAAGGGTTAACTTTATCTTGATTAGTTTTTGGACAGTTCCACAAAGTATGGTTTTCTTTTCAGAAAATATTTATTTTAGAAGATTTAATCATTTCCAATTCTTAGCTACAGTTTTTAACCCTTTCACCCATAGGTAACTTTAGTAGACTCTTCCATGCGTTTATGGGGATTAGTCCATTACGGTCTATGGTGGTGAAACAGTTAACAGTAGTTTGGGGATCCTGGACATGTAATCTATACAATGTTGTGACATCGCCTTTAAATCGTTTATGAATTGATTTACCAGGCCTTAGAAAATTATCTCACAGGTCCCTAAGTGTGGAATTCTTTCAGTAAGGAGTTGTATTTTACAGTACGGTAGCTTACAGCCTTAAGTGTTGGATTACGGAAGAAATAAAACATTGTATCATAATGTAAATCATGTCTTGTGCTTAATCAAGCTTAAGGAATCACACTTCCTCATTCGTTAAACACACTTGGTTAACCAAGTGCAAAAGTACATTTCATAAAGTGTGCAACATATTTCCATTCAACCAAATTCACATGATACATGCATGGTATTGAGCAGCTTGAATATATGTTAATGAGCAGTGATTTATTGTCTAGTTTTACAGTTTAATTATATTAATACAGGCTGTACATGTTACAGCTGGATACCAAGTAATGTTCACCACAGTTTAATATTTCTCTTTCTGGCCCTCCGTAATGAGGGCGAATTTCTATTTCATTACAGTGAACATTTGTAAGCAACATTATTTACACAATAAGAAAATGTGAGGGGCAAATTGCATATTGGGTGAAAACGGATTTTATTGTCAAAGGGCGAAAAATTTAACATGGCGAATATTTCCTGTTATACTGTAAAAAGGAGGCATGGTAGTCTAGTGGTAGGACG